AATTCTCTTTACATGGTATCATTTTGAGGAGAAATGAGCTCAAGCAACCATCGGGAGGAGAAGGCAGAGAGTGAAAGTAAGTGAAGATGAGGGAGGGTTTTTGATCCTGCTGACCCCACTGTAGGTGAGAAGCGGACGGAGGTGCCCTCCATAGCTGATCTCACGTTGAGGCTGGCGAAGGAGATTGCTGGCGGTCAACAAAATAATGACTCTTTGAATAAGTCGGACAGCACTCAGAATGCTCCTTCCGATTTACCAATCTTCTATACACCAACACCGAGTGATAAATACAAGTGTTGTGCGTGTGGTGAGGTTTTGAGGAGACCAGTAAAGTTTGTGGTCTGTGAACATTCCTGCTGCTCTACCTGCTACTCTGATATCATGTCGTAGGTGCACCTTTGTGCTGTGACTTCGATTGTAGGTCAACTGGACGTTGTCCAATAGATGGAAATGTACTGGAAAGAAGTGAAGTTACTGTAGATAAGCAGATGCAACGGGAATTAGATCATCTTGGAGTAAAATGCAACTACTTCGAGCAAGGATGTTCGTGGACTGGGCTGGCAGTCGAGTTGACTGATCATTTGGAAGAGTGTCAGTGTCGTCTAGTTCAATGCATATATAATTGCGGAGTGGAGTTTGAGGCGGGTTACAATTTATTGCCTTTGTTAATGATATCATTTCTATATGCAGTGTGGCGAATATCGTATACTTTTCATCGGATCCTAACATCTGTTAGCACTAATTATCTTCTTAAACAAATTTGGGAGTTTAAAATTAACGGGATGGATGCAGAATATTTCCGATTTTGGAGCAGGAGTTTGGTACATTTAGGAAAATTTGGTAACTGGAGTAATGCTTAAGTAATGGTCGAATTTTTTCTAAGACTCTCACTAAGCACTTACTTTCTTCACATTTTATAGTTCTAGATGTAGTTTTTGTGCCTTGCTTAATGTTTATTTCAAGAATCTCATTATAACGTAGGTCTCACTCGTCTAATCTTAGTGAAGAACAAATTTGGCAAGTCATAAAACACGGGTGGGTTATCCATTTTACTATGGAACTGACATAGTCGATGGAATGTTAATGTCAATGTCTGAGCAGGTACAAAAATGAGGCTTTTTTGATTTCTGGCTCTGTGAATATAGTTAGATAAATAGCAATTAAAATAGTACAAAGGACTTTCCCTCATCTTACTCCATGCAACGCTACCGGCACGAGGATGTGCAACAATACTGTTGCGATCGTTAGACACCTTATCATCGTATTCTTTGTCGCCTCTATTTCAAAGCAGGAAAAGTAGACGTCTCAAACTCATTTTTCCAGAAGTAACAAATCCTTCCTTACTTCATTTATTCATTTGTATACTTATCCAGTGTTTTGCCGTCATAAAATGCAGTGCTTTTTTATTCCAGTCGACAATTTCCACAAGATAAAAACCTTTATTTATTGTACAACTATTAATGGAAGTAGGACCGTTATTCGCTGAATAATTCAAGGGCTGCTCAAAAAAATTTCAGGATCGTATTGGTAAAAAGTAGAGACTAATGAGGAATTTATCCAACTACTCTTTCAGGTTCGTTTTATGGAGCAACACGTCACCGCTGACTGTCCACGTCGTCCTGTTGTATGTCAATTTTGTCAAGAAAAAATTGAAATGTACAATCAGCCGACACACATGGAGATGTGCAAACGCTTCCCCATTCCGTGTCCTAACGGCTGCAGAAGAAAGGAATTACCACGCGAAGAATTGACGGCGCATCTAGAGGCTGGGTGTCCTCTACAGGTCATAAATTGTCCATTTTCTGAACAAGGTTGCCAATTTCGCGGCAGAAAACGCCAAATTAGGGCTCATTTAGCCGACGAGTTGGTTTTGCACGTACTACTACTGCGCGACGCCGTTCAGGGGTTTCATAACCTCTTGGATTTGCAAGTGAGTGTTCTATCGTTCCATTTATTGAGTAGATCTACATCAATCAACTCCGTTGCCTTCGTTACACAGTCTTTTCTCATTTAAGCATGGCGTATTACACTGACCACGACAAACACCGTGATCATCATTCTACTTTGATCCACACAAGCTGATAGGCTTTACTGAGGTCTCCCCTGAGACAAGAGCAAAGATCATACAATGACGTTCTATCAGTCTATCACTACGACACATTTGGCAGATTTCAATGCTCCATATTTTAGGGACTCATCCGCCCTATATTGTTTTAGACGGGTTAGTGTTCTACAGCAAGTAAATTTTTATGCTCCGAACTGTTCATAAAACCGCAATATTGTGTCCCCTTAGGCGACTGGCAAAAGTTTAATGAGTCACGCCGCCGTTGAGATAGGATGCGTTAATAGCATCGAGAATGGCTGAAGCATTATAGACATGAAAACCCAGGCCTAAAGAGGGTTAGTAAGAGTGTGGACTTGAAGAATCTACATAGTTAATTTCTCAAACGATTTATTCAGGTGGTCATCCTGCTGCGCATCTTTCTTGCTCACATAAGTTTCCGGCCTAGCGATTCTCTTGGCCATTGTGTTATGTCGAGAGCTGCAAGTTGGTGGGATGCATGAAAATTGCCGAAGAAATGATGTCGATGCACGTGCAATCTCTTTCCGCTATGTTGAGAAGACATAGTGTATCTCCTATGGATCAGGAGGTAGCGACCTTCACTGGTAAACTACAAAAAGGGCCCTTAGCGCTTGACATTAAAAGATTTCTGCAGGCTAACAATATCACAAAGAAGTGTTTGCAGAATTTATTTCGCTTTCTTATCCACTTCCCACTACGGTATGTAACAAAAGCACAGAAGGCAACAGGGAATGGCGTTGAACCGGAAGCCACGCAAGCGACGTAAAAACGGGACCATGGGTTCTAAGAAGCTCACTGTTCTATTATGGGCCAAGTTCCATGTAAAGTCAGGAGTACTGTCGCCCTACTAATAGCAGTATCAGTAGACGTTGAAATTAACTTTATTAATTGCTTTACAGGTTCAGGCGGTCCATGAGAGCCAGGCTGCGGTGAAGAAAATGCAGATGAAGTTACAGCGGTGTGAGGCATATTTTGAGCCATCTTTTGTTTGGAAAATCGATGGCTACAGGGAGAAATTCGAGGAGGCACAGCAAGGCCGCAAGACCAGTCTCTTCTCAAACCCTTTCTATAGCCACCGTCACGGTTACCGAGTGTGCTTATCCATTTGCCCGAATGGGGAGCAGCGCTACAGAGGAAAGTACTTGTCGGTGTTCATTTGTATCTGTCGTGGTGAATACGACGCACTGCTGAGCTGGCCTTTCTCTTACCCTGTGAGTACTTTACCTCAGTGGATGTTTTCATCACATAGTACATCTTTATAGAGAATCACGTTTCAAAAGCTGTACTGAGTAAGTGAGAAAGTAGATCAGGCCTCGAGTAACACAGGAAATATGCAAATTTTGTCTTGTGAGCGAATAAACTTAAGACTCTAGTGGTGGGTTGCCAAGTAAACTATGGTAAAAGCGTCAAAATAAACCCACTGAAAGAAATATACGGTCCAGCACCTAATTAAACATCTGAAAATGGGGTTCATAGTAAAAAAGGGAGATGACTATGTCATTCTGTCCGTCTTATTTGTTTTAACTTCCGGATCCACCTAATATATTACTAAGAAGGTCGACGTCGATTAAGCGTCAATGATCTCTCCAAAGTCCCTATATAAGTTGAGTGAGCCGGACAGAGTTTTGATTCACTGTTAAGTATAAAAAGGATATGAGGGAGACCACACGGTTCATGCAGTTTTGTGTTTATCACTCTACGCTCTTCTTACACGAATTCACATTGACGGTATTTGGCAAAAGCACATCTTTGGACAAAGGTATTGCTCAGATGAGTGCTTTAAATCACCTTTAATGTAAGTTAAGGATTTCGCAACGTTTAGAATTCCCTTGATGCATTTCGTTTGCATTGACTTTAAATGTGAATTGAAATATTTTTCAACTCCTAGTTTAAAATAGCTGAAGATGTTATCTTGGATCACGAGTTTTCCAAAATTGTAGCAGTCTTATGGCTTAACTGGTGAGTTTGCAGAGAAGTCTCATGAGCTTTGAATCATTAGAACGTTGTACTAACGATATAGGCATCCTCTTGCAGTTTTATGCATCAAATAAACTTTCTCTGACTCCTTTGAAACACCACTGCATATACTGAAATTATACTCATACAAATGTTCCTCTCTGTGGAGTTTTGAACGACTGACCAAAGGTGACTTATTGTTCGCTGAATTGACTATAAATGGTAAAATTGTCGAGAGGCTCGCATTATCAGGCTTCTTTTTTGTATCCTGGTAGGCGACCTCATTCTTCAGTAATGATATTACCATAAGTTTACCTTTGTATGGGTCTAGAATCCACGGATGGATCTGGTCAAGGCAGATTGTCCTCAGGCGGCACTAACACGGGTTTGCTGATTCTGATATAGTCACGGAGAATTGGCATTGGGTAGTGCCTTTAGGTGATAAAAAGAAGTGTTGTTACGGAAATGCCTCTTCCATTGCGCTGAGTTAGACTATTAGTAAGTAAACGATAGGAACGAACACATGTAAAATCTAAAATATGTGATCATTCGTGTCCTTCGAGCCACACTGCCAAAAAGGGTGCAAATCTCACCTCAAAGTGAAAAATCCACGTGCTTGAATGCAGGTCGAAACGACCGTCGAATCACTACAGTTTCGTAGTGTCCTTTCTGCTTTATGATAATTGATTTTGAAACAAGTTTAAGGTTTCCTAAATATGTAAAAAAAAGCAAATTTGGTCTTTACAGAATTTGAAAATTTATACCACCGAGTCCATTTATTAGTTCTATCCGTGCGCAGCCGCTACTCATTCATTAGCTCTTTTGTCTTCTTTAGCATGTAATTTAGCTAACAGCGCAGTGTTTCCATCGGAACAGTGATGTTGCCAAATCCCATAGTTGTTATAACTTACTTGACAAACTATTTATATATCCTGCTGCCATCTCTACTCTCCAGATAACGCTGAAGCTGTTGGATCAGAATATCGACCCGGGTATGCGACAAGACCACGTGGTGACCATTCGTCCCAACCCCATACCCAGCAACAACGCCTACCTCAAACGGCCCTCAAGTGAGCGCAATCAGTGCTTCGGATCGCCAAGGTTCCTCGAGCTGGACCAGCTGCATTTGCGTGACTTTGTGGTGGACAACACACTCTATATCAAGGCCATCTTTGACATCAATGCGTAGATAAGAGGACGGAAGTGGGACTGTGGGAATTGGTGAACTTTGAATCAGTGTTCTAAATATATGCTTCAAATGGCTTATTCATCCCTCTGTCCAGCAGTACCTGCTAGAGTCTCCTTGAAGTGTAATTTAGGAAACCTAAATTTTAGGGTTGTTTTTTTTTAAATTTGATCAAAATAGGCTGTAAAGGTAACTAGCGTTGGCGAGCTATTGTTATTGTTGACAGGCTGGTGGATAATTTAACAAAGCACTAAGCATGATATTTCGAAAGTTTTAGGCAGAAAAACCGAAAGTTTAAGTAAAATCAGGAAGCTTTTCGACTTGTGCCTCGGTAAATTTTTTGTCATTAAGGCTAAATCTATTTTCAGGAAGCCTTTAGTTAGTTTAAACAGAAGTCCAAGGTTCCATGATATTTTTTTGGAGTAATTCGATGAAGTTCCAAATGTAAGAGTCTATATTTTCAAAGTGGAAGGGCCAGAGGAGCAAATGTTAGGATTGACACCACCAAGCAATTTGCACCTCTTTGCTACCGAGTCAGGGAGGCAGCCTGACAAAGAACAGAATCGTGCTGAAATAAGTAATGCCACTGATGATCAATTCCCGCAATTCAGTCACCGGTGAATGATTTTAGACTGTATCATTTACATCTGGATGTCTGCACTGACAGAAATGTCTTAAGGAAAACCGGCGCCAGTTTTAATTATCACGATTTTTGACAACGAGCCAGTGATAATATTAGGATGCCAGTTGCAACTGTCCCGGTGATGCTAAAACACAGGACCTGAACGGGTTTGAATATGACCTTGAAGTAAATGAACGATGAGAAACGTACAAAAAGACAAAAGGGCACATTAAAATAGACCAGTAATTTAATTAACGGTCTTAAAAATCAACTATGATGTCGAAATTTGAAAAAGGAGACATAGGAGTCCATGACATGATCCAGCTTCAAGCCGGTGGTTTCAAAGAATGAATTTATTGACCGCTCCGTCTATTGTTATCCTTCAGTGGCCTTAAAATCGGATTTTAATGGAACAATGTAGAATAAAGATCACATTAAATGCGTTGGGTATTGGTAAACAAGCACAAGAACTACTTTCCTTTAGAGAACTTTTTCTCAAAAGGTCATATCATTTACCTAAATGTGCTTTGTCTGTTTCGTTAAAGTGCCAACATCTTCAGGCATTAAGTCTATGATGTTCTGAATACGATTTCGGTGACTCCTTGAGGACCTCCAAAAATGGAGGATGAACTAAAAGTTTGTCAATTTTAAAATCAGGACTTGAGATCGACAAAAAGATGTCCCTTTACCTGTTATGGGTGACATTTTCTAATGTTAATCAATAAACGAAGTACTAAGTATTTTGTTGGTTATATACTGGATATAGTGTGCTATGCTACGGGAGGGTAAATCGGGAGTGCCAGTATCGACCACTGCTGCTGTTACCACCAGCGATGACTATCTCATCCCTTTTTAATGTCTACTCTAAAGCTTCATTCAGACCTTAGTAAGTATCCTGCCTCCACAAAATTCTCCTTTTTCCTGAAAAGGCATCCAATATTTGATGATTAACATCAGTTATCGTTTCATCGTTATAAACATTAGAAACAAATTGTGTGATTAATTTTTGTCGCACAACGTTCGCATAGTACAATAACTCGAGATGCCTTTATATTAAATTGTCTCCACTGTGTGTCGCATATTCACTATTCATTGGTGAAGATAAATGAAGTCGACTACATTTTTGGAGACCATTTATAGCTCATGTGAAAACTTAAGCCAGTGGATAAGATAACTTTATCATATGATGACAAACAATGCTATTTCAATGCAACAATTACTTCCAGAAGGTAATGAATCTGTCTCCATACCACCCTTGAGATGGTATGCAAGCGATCGACGGCGTATTTACGATTATTTTACTGCTTAATAATGCATTTGTTTACGAAAAGAGAGTATGGCCTAATGATAACTTGGTAAAAGTGTTCAAAAATCGGCGTCAATGTGCTGTCACATTTAGTGTGATTCTAGTGGAAAAGGAGGTTATTTTACAATTTAAGAGGCCTAAAACGCACCACTTTTCTTTGTCTATTGACCTGGTTTAATAAAACCTTAAAAATAGGTTGCTACATTTCCAAACACAATGATGCAGTTAAATAAATAGCCAAAATACGCACATCACGTCTTGATAAATTCAAAGATAGCTTTCGCAAGGGATATTTGCATATTTTTAAAGTATCTTGTGCACTAGACAATCTCATTTCTTTAAATCTACTTTAAATTGGCGAGGAGTCGGAATATCTTGTGTTTTAAACCTTTTGATTAATAATAAGTGTATTTGAATGTCAAAAGCCACAAAAATTTTTTAGTTCACATGCAAATCTTGGATGCGTTAAACAGTTCTCAGCGCTACTTTCCATACTGATTGTTATTTAGATCCGTGAATATTGTTATTTTTATACAATTTTGTTTAGTTTCCAGTTTTTCAAAATGCATGCTGATCTGTTCTGTTGAAAACTGAAAATTGGGAGATTTACCAATTGCGAATCATAGCTCACATGATGTTTTTTATCTTTCATTCCTAAGAGCAGATCAGCAACTTAAAAGTATTTCAAAATAATTTTTTTAGGGATCAGCGAAAAACGTCACAGGTGATGATACTCTACAGCAGTTGTGGAAGATCTTTTACAAATGCTTGAAATGGTCGAGACGCTATGGCACCGAGGTTGCAAGTAAGCTACGTGAGACTGCAAAGATGGAGTAGTTAAATATCACTTTCTTAAATCTATCATTTTAGTCACACATGATAATTTTAATAAGTTTCTGTGCACCTATTGGTACCCATGGTGATGGTGGGGATCTACAGAAGACGTTTCATTTCTACCAGCAGCCCGTGTGGGCTTTCACGTATCCCTGACACCTCCAATGGCTTTGGTAGGGTATCCAGTTGCTAAGACCACTTTATTAGCAAACGCTAAGTAATTCACGTACGTGATGTGGCTTAATTCTCTTAAAATGGTTGTGACTTCTAGCTCACACCTTGAAACTTTCGGCTTTATTTTTACTGTCACCTTAAAGGGTCATTCAAAAATTGTGCCACTTTAGTCTAGGCTAGTAGCTGGCTAAAAGTAAATGCGCCAATCTTTGAGTAAAATGAATTCATTTAAACTAAACAAGTGTTTTTTAGTGCTGGAGGTTAGAAATGTTTCTTAGGCTTTGAGAAAATAATATGAATCGTAAGGGTCGGGACGGACGCTTTGGTTGAAACTACTTCGATATGCGTCTACTATTTAGTCATTAAACATAAATAATATGATGGTGTTAGGATGCAAATGTTTTAGCTACGACAGTCGGCCTTATAATTTCAACTGTAGAGACTCATTTCAGTCATATTTTTATCTGTGATGAAGGGCATTTTATATAAATTTGCTGGATATTCATTTAAGGCATACAGTTTTCAATATTTCCATTAAGGATTTGGTAAATGTCTTGAACTATTACTTGACTTGTGGAAGGACAGTTCCTATTTAGATAGATTTGGCTTGCGGTAATGAACCTAAAATGAAGCGTTACAACATTTGCAGCATTGGCAGCGTGTACCAATGCCAGTATTTCACATGTAACTTTCTGGATTGCAGTCGTTTTCCTAACTATCAATTTCATTGATCAACTCTTTCCACGGTATTGCATTTATATTCAAAAATAGCACTATTTTTAAGTATAAATTTCTTTTAAAAGTAAAATAGATGAAATAAAGCAAAGAAAAATTAATGAGTAAGTAGTTGGTATAAAGTAGGCGTGAGGAAAGACTTTGATACAGTCAAAAAATTTAAATAGGGGGATTTAAGAGCCAGGACTTATGAGCTGATCAAAAGTTGTTTGGAAATATAACTTTGCTTACTACTTGACAATCCATTAGTAACTTATCTCACTTCGTTTAAAAAAGCGACGCTCTTCCTGATAGAGTATGTGTGCTTAAAATTTTGAATATATGTATGTGAGCAATTTTCTTCTCTTCTCAGAGCTGAATGTGCGAATACCTTTAAAGGGTATTCGCACGACCGTATACACTGATAAAAAGTCTGAAATGCAGTTTTGCTTGGAAAAATTGAGTAAACCCTAATTTTTTATTGTCCATTTGGGCAGTGAAATGCAGTAATCAAAAAAAATATCAGAGCACAAATATCAAAAAGTGCACGGTACACACTTTCAAGGTGCACTAAATACAAATGTGCTGTCCAAAGCTCTTTTGATTTTTCCCAAGATAATACTCTGACTTTTAAAAGGTGAACGAATTCCCCAGTAGTATGCCTCATAATCTCTAAACAAACACAATGGTGTGAGATGTTTCAAAATCTTCGGAAATATGAAGGTAAATGAACTATTTGCCATAAACGTAGGATTTGAAGCATGTGGTCATATAGGTTCGTAAACGAAGATCTCATTTTCATTTCTCAAGGCAACATCACAATCAGAATTGTTCACGGAGAATTTCTTCTCGAAGGCCAAAAAAATTACGGTAGAAATCTTAGGAGAACTAGCCTAGGCAAGCCGATTAGTCAAAGGATTTTTATTTTGACGAAATGAAGGAAAACAAGGCTTTGCGCTAGATACCGCAGAAACTTAACTTCAAGAAGGTGTCATACCATACTTAAGAGTGACACAGGCAGGAGTTGTCCCACCTCACCCGCAGTCTAATCTTTGTTAATATTACTCGAAATGATAAGCATCACTTCTTTAGGCAATGGACAGTCCCCCATCACATGTGAGCTAGGACTGACAACTTGAAAGAAAGGCGATAGATCGTACGACCTAGACGAAGAACAGGAAACTGAAAAATCAGTTGATGGGCGTGGGCAATACAATTCCTTGTGGTTTGTTCAAAACATTACCAGCTTATGCTGAAATCGGATCTTCTCAAATTTCTCTTAAAATGTAACATTTTGAAGCTTCTTAATTGTTTTTAGTGAGTGTCAAACGATTGTTTAGCTAGAAACAATATCACACTAACATCCAGAACAGGTGAGCTCCTGTGCAAAAGGAGGCACTTTTACTTCTAGTTCGAAATATTTCACAATTACAGACACAGCAAGCAAACCTAATAAGAAATCATATTCCTTCTATTATTTTTTTTAAGAAAAGGTTCTCAAGTCTTGGCTAATCTCTTGTTTTCAACCAAGAATATGATTGCAGAGCAGATCCATATTATTGTAGATTCCGGTTTACTGCTTCGGCCCCTTTAATGCCCACAAGTCTTTGGTATAAATGTTGGGGTTGCTAAAGACAGATTTTGGTCTACCTTTCAAAAATGTTTTCTCTCACCCCCAATTTAGCACTGTTTTTGAATATTTTTTAATTCACTACCATTTCCATTACCCAAAAATCCTGCTATCATTAAATAAAATAAATCCCTTAAAATACAAAATATTTTACAACTCAAAAAACATCAAGAAATAGCTTCAATGCTTAGCAAGGAACGTAAAGTCAGCTTCTGTATTGAGTCGCATGACGTGCCAGGATTCCCCCTCAAGGACCCAGCAACCGGAAGTTATCAAAAATACGGCATAAATTTTAGTAACCATTGTCGAAGCAAGAGGAACGGAAGTACAATTTGAACGTTTGCCACTAATCGTCCCGAGGTGGTTGGCATATCTTTGAGGACTTTGTAGTGCTTAAAACAGGGATCGCCATGTCAGGGCACTCTTACGCCGACTCGATTTAAAAGAACTATCACAAAAGTGACGATTTTGGATTTTTTGTGCAATTAAAGCTTCACGCTTAAACGATTTTGTGCTAAAGGACTTTGAACTGCAGTTACAGTAGGATTTTGACAATTGCTGATTTTACTTAAACTAGTTGGTACCAAATATGATCTAAAATATTTTCTTCTGATTCTTTAGCTTCTTATCTCTGTGGTCAAAATATCGAAAATTCAAGTTTGGTAGGTGACGTCCAATGGCAAGTTGTGTGCAAACGTTATTATAATCTCTGTACTTTTTAAATTTTTTTGGAAATAAAATTTATCTGACACGGGAATGTTCATCTTAAGGCTTCTTCTCCTATACTTTCTGAGGAGGATCAAACCTTACTGAGGTTCTCAAGGGTAGTTTCTGCTCTTAAGGGCAAACCATTGGCTTAGTTTCATAGTTTTAACAATGAAATGTCAAATACAAAAGTGATTGAAATCATCTGACAGCACAGGCTAGAATCTAGAAGGGGAATTACAATAATCTACTCATTAAATCTAAAAAAGGGATCGGACTTAAAAATGCAATGGTATTGTTTATGTAAAGTTCAGCTAAAAATTTCTGGTCTATGAGGACGACATGGGAATAAGCAATAACTTATTCTCAGGCATTTTTGGGCGTACCTTCTAAAAGTGTATTTGATTATCTTCTTTATTATGCCATCGCAGACCATCACTTAGTAATATGATGGCTTTTGACAAAAACAATGCTGAGGTATGACATGGGGCTTACTACCTTTTCACCAATTTCTTCACCTTGCAAAAGCCCAAAGTTTTACACCGCAAATAGCCTCCGTGCTTTGGGTGGTACATTCAGGAAACCAAGACACAACAGCGGCTAATAAAGCCGCCTACAATCCCGGAAAATCGCACTTCTTAATGTTCTAGAACTTTCCATCATTGCAGATAACTCTCCAACGTTCTAAATTCGCTCGATTACTCACTCTCTTTCCACTCACTGAGACTACTCTGGAATGGATTTAAGTAGGCTACGAGTCACTCCAAGCCCAAGATCAATGCAATACCATAAATACGCATGACTAAGTCAACTCTGTGACCCAGACTGAGACACGGACTCCTACTCAGCCTCCAGCAGTCTCCACATCTCAGCTATTAGGGCCATACCCACATGTCAACCGCATTCATCAAAACAGGCATGCATCCTAAAGTCTTTACCCTAATATAATCTGGTTTGCGGCCTCGATAAAACCCAGATATCCCGCAGAACTGAAAAGGAAAAACCTGGGCCAAGTAAGTGAAGAATCAGGATCACAAACACGTATAAACATGTTGGTAGACCTTCAAAAATTATCCTCACAACTAAATGAAAGAATGCCTTAATCTGGTCCTCATCAATGAAATCGTCATGTTTGATTTCTATTTCATTTCACTTTAATTTTAATTGAGTTAATGGACCCAATTTTCTAGTTTATCACATAATTGTAAACTCCATCTTTTGCTCTCATTGTGACTATGTTTTATCTGAACCACAATTGAAATATGGAATGACTTACATAATTAACAAGCAGATTTTGCTGACGGCAAGACTGCAATTGGCTGATGAATACAGAGCGGGGTATATTGTAAATGGGAAATCAAATATCAGACCTATGTGAGGATTTCGTGGAAGTAAAGCAGTGTCTTCTCATCATCTTGGGGACAACTATTCAAGATATAGTGTAAAACTGAACTTACAAGACTATATCAATGCTTGACATATATCAAGGCACAGAAAGAGCTCTAGGCTTCGGATAAGTTCCCCGCTTCATTCTTCATTTGCCCCGGCTCCCAGAAACAGGTTATGCATGCAAATGCATGTAGACTGATTGCGACCCCTTTTAGTCTCCCTTGGTTCGAGCGCTACCATGGTGGCGTGTAGACATGCTCATCTCATTGTCACATTCATAGTAGGGCTGCTTTCAACTTAGTGCACATCACAACGTTTTCAAATATTTACTAAACCTTCATTCAAACTCTTAGCAAACGTTTAAGTATTCAGGACCTTATATTCGTACTTTAATTTTATAGGCATAGATCACATTTATTGGTCCTTTCTCTTGTTTTAGAAGCCCAAATTTGTAAAATCTAATTTCAACTAAGGCCCACACACCTTTTTATTCACCGAATACTATCTTTAATTATGTCTTTTGTCTTTCTTGATCCTCAAAGCCTCATACGATCTCGTGATTTAACTCATCTCAGACCGGAAGTCATCAGAACAGATTGACAGTTGATTTTGGGAGGGATAATTGCCACATGATGGCGTTCAAAGTTGTTACTTCCGCTACAGCAGTATAAAAGACCGCGCTGTAGATAGCCCTAATGTAAGCACCGACCTGATTTTATTACATGATGGCGAAAATCATTGCTCTCTGTATTCTCTTTTTATTCTGCAACGGTAGGTTCTACTAACGCATACAATTTAAATATAATTCGACTTAAGTTATAGTAAAAATAATAGCTTTTATTAATCATTTGTTTGTGCAATTTTCGGTAATTCGTTGTATGGGGCCATATGTTAGCCTAAGAAAGTAAGTGAATGCATCAAAACACGGAGAATTGCTGATTGTGCTTTAACTCCTAAAGGTGCTCGAGTGTCCCTAATGCTTTCCATGCCCATGAATTTAATTTATAAGTAAAATAATTAACTACTTGGCTTGTAGAGGCTTCATCAAATTATCGTTTTGATACAAATTTATAAACAATGCCTGTTTACCTTTAACTTGTGACAAAACAAAATCGCATTTGCTTTTTGCTATTATGTCACTCGTGAAAATTATGGCAGTCGAGACATGTAATCCTGATAGTGCAGAACTTGGAGTATGGATGGCAGAAAACGGACGAATAGCATAACAATACATAAATCTAAAGTTAGCCTGGAAACAAAACTTTAAATAAATCATGTCAATCACAGCTCAAGGTTTAAGAATACCCCGAATTCGCTCATGATTTTAAAGCCTCAAGTGCTGTTCATCCGGCTTGCTTTGAGCCGCACGACGTTGGACCCTGCCGAGCTTACATTCGCAGCTACTACTACGATCCGCAGAGCAACACTTGTCAGCTCTTCTACTACGGAGGTTGTGGTGGCACTCGCAATCGCTTTTACAGCGAGGAGGCCTGCATGGATGCCTGCACCAGGCGCAGCTCTTCTTGGATCCTCAAACCTGTGCCAGAATATGATTATTCTTCATCTGATGAATCGTGGTAGTCCAAATGAAAGCGATAAGTACTGAAGAGTGTTTTTTTTGATCTTTAATCGGTCTAAATATTCTGCTCCATGTTATGGGAAATAATCAAATAATAATTTAAGGTCATATACGTGATCTTTTTATGCAATGGGTGTAAGAAGGATGGATGTGGATGGAGTTTGAAAAGTTGAGTGAAAGCAGAATAGGTAATTCTAGACCATGTGAATGAATGAATCGCTTTAAAATGAAGCAGAAACACAATGTTAAGTAACTTTGTGAGTTACAGTAAAGACACCAAACAAATAACTTCAGTGGTGCTCGTCCACTTGACAATTGTTTAAGCAGAGCCATTTCTTATCAAAAGTCCGTAAGCCAACATGTAATCTAGCTACGGTGCCTTCCCACAGCTTATTCGAAAGAGGCGAAGAACAAGTTGACAGATCTAGAAGCTCATAGACTTTTACCAATGCGTGGGATGTGGGAGGTTTCCTTAGTTCAGCTAAACGCTTGATTTAGGGTCACTCATAATGCTAAACAAAACATTAATAAAAGATGCTCCTGCCACATCAAATGACATG